GCAAAATCAGCACGTGGCCTGCAGGCTGCAGGTTGGACACCGCTGGTCCCTGAAGACTCCTTTGAGAAGGAATAACTGAGCAGGATTGGAAAGAAGTCAAAGGATAACCCACTGCAGGTCTGGGGAAGCCCCCTCTAGACAGAGGGGACCACCGATGCAAAGGGCCTGACGGACGAGCAAGTCGGTTTTGTCTGCAGGCCACTGAAGGACCCCGGCTTTTACCCTGAGTGTGCTGAAAGCCATTGGCAAGTTTTGAGCAGTGACACTGCATTTTGGATGTTCTAAGGAGAATGAAAGATGGCCTGAAAGGCTGGGCGGCGCAGACCAGTGAGGAGGAGCAGAGATTGCGGGTTGCCGTGGGCGGCCATCTGCCCTTTCTTCTTCTAGGCATGGAATGCTGATTTCTTTTTTGTAGCAATGAGGGTCCCAGCTGAAGTCTAGACTTCATAGGCACCCCCTTACAACTAGTCCTTTGACTAAGTTCTGGCCAATAAGCTATAAGGAGATAGATTTGTAACAGTCTTTGGAGCATTGAAAAGAACCTGCTCTGTTGGGAGGAATTCTTTCCTCTTCTTGGGCTTCCTTCTGCTGTCAGTCCAGAACATAAACATGTGTCTGGAGCTCCAAAGGCCGTCTGGAATCATAAGGTGACCTCTGTCCTTCTCTATATTCTTATCATTTATTTGTGGCTACAAGACTTAAAAGCATTCTTTCAGCCCTACATTGTTATTAACTGTCGTCTCCTCATTGTACAGTAGATCTTTTGAATTTATTCCTACTGTCTAGCTCAGTTTTTGTATCCTTTGGCCAACATGTCTCCAATCCCTACCCCTCCCTCAGCCCCTGGTTACTATCGGTCTGCTCTCTCCTGCAAGGAGTTAGGCACCTTTGGATTTCACACATAAGTGAGGCCATGAGGCGTTTGTCTTTCTGTGTCGGCTGATTTCCCTTCACATCAAGCCCTCCAGGTTCATCCCTGTTATAGCCAATGACAGGATTTCCTTCTTGAGGCTGAATAGTACGATCTATTCATCTGCTGAATGGATGAATGGGTACTTAGGTTGATTCTGTATCTTGGCTATTGGGAATAATGGCATAATGAACACATCAAAGACATCAAAGATATCTCTTTGACACACTGATTTCGTTTTGTAAGGTGACCTTTACCATAGAAGCCCCATGCTGAGGACAGTGAGACAGAAAGCTCAGGTACCGCACCAACTTTGGACCGCCCCTTTGTGGACTCCCTTCATATGAGAGATAAAGACCCTTCTGTTTTGTTTAAATCACTTAGTTTTTTTAAAAATGGTTAAATAAAAATATGCAGCTAAACCAAAACATAATCAATATAGGAAGCCATTGTGGCGATGCAGGTGAGGGAAGGTGGTGGTTTGGCCGAGAGTGGTGGCGAAGGAGGTCAGAATCTGTAAACTTTTTCTGAAGGTGGTGCCTATCGGATTTGCAGGTGTTTTAGTATCGTACCAAAGGAAGGAGAAAAACTAAGACGACTTCTGGGTTTGGGGCTCGGGTGACAGGAGAGGCCATGGTTTACAGCGATACAGAAGCTGGGGGAGAGCAGGCATGGGTGTGAGGCTGGTGGTGGGTGGGAACAAGAGTCTAGGGTGTAAGTGGCAGGTACAGGACAGAAACAAGAGGGATGGCCAAGGATGTGGGGCACACACTGGTGGGAAAGGAGCAAGATCCCACCTGCTGCTTCTATTTCTCAACAAAGTTGGGGGCCAGGCCATCAGCTGAGCCTGAAGGGAGAAAAGCAAAGGGTGGAGACAGGAGATTTGAAGAGAGGCACGCTGGGAAACAGTCCTTTCAGAATGAGTGTGTGTTGGGTTGAAATCCGTGCTCTGTCATTTCAAGAGAAGGCAGTGAGCACGGTTGTGTGTTTCTCTGCCATCCAGTCCAGTTGCACAGATGGGTTTGACTGAGGGTAGGTTTTGACCGACAAGTAAAGAAAGAAGTATGCACATGAGGTGGATGAAAGGTGGAGTTTAGTTTTCTTGAAAAGACTAAAAAATCACTAAAGTGTGGGCTCTGGAGAAGCTAAGCAGAGGATAGAAGGTGGTGAGGGTTAGAGGGCTGGATGACTGCACAGGAGACTTGGGAGGGGATGCAGGTAGTCATCAGGGAGGACAAGGTGATATGAGTCGAGCAGGACAGAGTGAGCAGATCAGGTGACAGAGATGAAAAGTCACTAGGGAGAGGAGGAATCCAGAAGCCTAAGATATCAGATGGAGGTCAAATAAAGGCTACTAAATTGTAAATATTATTAAATAAAAGTTGTTCACAATTTCTGATAATTTGATTTATTATCTGCCTCAGATAAAGATACCATTCATTAGTATAAGTTCTTAATGTTAAAAAAACAATTCTTTTAAGCGACATCTATGGGACATCACAATACAAAGATTTACCCAAACATCTAAGTTTTTGTTGGGTGAAAATATAAAGCATTTTTTTTTCTATGTGTAACTTCTTTGTATCTTGATGTCTTTCCTTTTCCTTCTGGGCTTTGTTTGAAGCAGGTGGTGTATTAACACAACCTTTGAAAAACTGGCCTGACGATTCTCTCTAAAATTCCTCACATCACAGCTTGTTCCTTCTAAGCTAGGTTTTGCCCGTTGTACTTTTCTCATCACTTTTTTAAAAAACTCTTATTCCCATATTTATTATGCTTATATTCTCAGATGTTTGTTCCGTGTTTCTCAGATTCCTTTGCTTAGGAGAAAAAATAGGGAGGATTCCTGCAGCATACTGTGAGAACAGTCTCAGGATTTCCCTGCGGACGGGACTTGTGCAAACAGGGTCTTACGCACTGTTTTAAGTCCAGCCGCGCATTCAGATCACAGGTCCGAGGTGTCAAGCGGTCTCTGAAACATTAGGAAAGTTGCATCCTCCCATCCTCTTGTTCCCCTTTATAAAGTCAAACATTATGAATGGGGAGTTTATTCTGGGCTACTCGTCGTGTCAATTGCAGTCATTCACTTCCATGGGCGAAACTGACCTGCTTCGTTCTCTCAGGGGTATTCACATTTCTAAAATGTGCATGTGAATCCAAGTAAATTCTTTGATTCATGAGGTAAATGTAAAACAAACCGTTAATACTCTATGCAGGATTTTTTGTGTGTGACAGAACAAAAGGGCTTCCTTTCTCTTGGGGCCCCAAAGCAGCCTCTCTCTTAGAAAGTGGGCTAGGACACGTCAAATCCGGGAGTGGTATTTGTGTGCGTGGGTGTGTGGGTCTGTGCGTGTCTCTCTCACTCAAGGTGTGGGTGTCTCCTTTCCCGTGTTTCACGTCATGAGCCGGAGATACTCATATGTGGCTATTGTTAAGCCACACTCCTCTCAGAGAGTAAGTTCTTTATCTCAAGGCCCCGTTTCCCAGTTTTGGGAAAATTCTTCAGTTACCCAACTATATTAAGGTTTTCAGTCTTAAAATCATAGAGGTTCGTGGCTTCTGCTTCCTCCTTTAATCCAGTTGTGTTGTTGGTTACTGGAATATGTAGAATGAGTAGGGAGCTGGAGAGGAGATGCACCTGAAATTGAGGTTGCCGCCTCTCCACGTGGCCTGGTAAATGGGTTCATCCTCCAAAGCCACACTGAGGGAAAGGACCCTGCCTGAGAGAGAGGGCGCGGTGCAGCGGTTAGTGCAGTGAGTTGGAGAGTCAGGTTTGAGTGCAACTCCCAACCTGAGTAGGAGCCAGCTCTGTGACCTTGGACAAGCCCTGCGAGCCGCAGGTGCTACAGCTTTTATGCGCAGGATACGGTGATAAATTATTCCGACTACACTGGGGCTGATGTGAGCAGCCCTTTCGTGAATCAACGCATCCCGTAAGAGGATCTGTGTCTGCGATGGACACTTTCTGGTTCTCTTCCAGATCCAGAAGCTTCTCGCTGTAAGGAAGAGGCAGCAAGGAAACAGAGACGTAAGGGAACCGAGCTCTTTCCCCTTCGCGTCCGCTATGCACCTCCTACTCGCGTCTCCGGTTGCTCCGTGAAGGAGTCGTAGGACTAAGAAAAGCAAGATGACAGTGCTCGTCTGCTTCTCTTGCTGGGAGCTGGGCGAGGAGTCTGGCCCTCTGGGACATGTTTCCTTGCGACTCATGCCGCTGGCTTTTTTGCCACTTCAGCAAAGTCATGAACCTACGCCTGACTCCTTTCACCGGCCTTTTGTAAACAGCTCGAATGGGACACAGAAGGAGAATCAAGTTTCTGAACTGAAAAAAAAAATACATATATAGCGAGATCAGTCGTGCTTCTTCCTGCCGGTGACTGTTTACGAGAGGGAAGTCAGCAGGCCCCCAAGAGGTCGCTGGTGGCGCAGGAACCAGGGCCAGATTGTAGAGAAAAAGAGAAGGAACACCACACACACACACACACACACACACACACACACGCACTCACACACACGCACACGCAGAAACTTTCTTCCTTGTTGCGAGTAATCACCGCCCCCGCTCCCCCCAGCTGAAACAGTAACGTGACACCCGAGCGAAACTCGGAGACCGGAGCGGAGAGAGGGAGGGGACAGGGAGGAGAGAGGGCTGCGGAGCGCCAGAGGGAGAAAGGGGAGGAGAAGGAGGAAAGCCCCTGCCGAGGAGGTGGAGCGAGGGGATGGTGTCCGCCTCCTGTTCCTCCCTGCCGTTTTTTAGAGGAGCCTGAACTGGGACAAAACACGCCGAGACCGACAGACACAAAGCCAGGGGGTCCACGCTGGCGCTGGAGGCGAGCCTGGTCAGCCGCGAGCGAGCCCGGGGCACTGCGGGGCGCGGGGCGTGGGGCCGCTAGCGGACGCCGGACGGGCGCGGAGCCCCAGCGCAGGCAGCGCCCTCGAACCGGGGCCGGGCATCTCGGCCGCTCGGGCCGCGGCGGCAGGGACCATGCCGAGGAAAGTCTCCTGAGCCCCGCGACTTCGGCCCCTCCCCACTGCCCTCCGCGCGGCCCTCCCCATGTGCAGCCGGCCGGCCGGGCTCTCCTCCTCGCGGCGGATGGGTGACCTTTTCCTGGCACGGGCAGGCTGTGCGAGGCGGCGGAGCCGGCGATGAAGAAGAAGCAGCAGCATCCCGGCGGCGGCGCGGATCCCTGGCCCCATGGGGCCCCTCTGGGGGGCGCGCCTCCGGGCCCGGGCAGCTGGAAGCGCCGGGTCCCCCTGCTGCCTTTCCTGCGCTTCTCCCTCCGGGACTACGGTTTCTGCATGGCCACCCTGCTGGTCTTCTGCCTGGGCTCCCTCTTCTACCAGCTCAGCGGGGGACCCCCTCGCTTCCTGCTAGACCTGCGGCAGTATTTGGGTAAGGAAGGGAGGCAGGCGCGAGGGCAGCGCCGCCTGGGCAAAGTTGTGCCGGGTGGGGTGGGGTTGGAGAGGGGGCGCGTCCGTGACTTCTGGTGTCCGCACCGCACACCGCTGTCCCGCGGTGCTCCAGGTGTGACGCCGGCGAGCTTCGATCGCTGTGGCGGCCGGGAGCGCCTATTTCCTCCCATGCGCCCGGCTGTCTACACGGAGGCGGAGGCGCCCCTGGGTGACATGCGGTGCAGGTACTTAGAGCTGGGACACCGCGAGCCTTCCGCCCGCGACCGCCTCCGCCACCCCTACTGGGGAGGAGTAAACGTGTGTTTTGAGGGTGTGCATGAAGGGCGAGAAGTTATAGTTTTCTTCGTGGCAGTTTTAATGATCACAGCCCACAGTCCGGTCTTGCGCCCAGGATGTGAGAGTGGGTTTAGCTCCTCTCCGCATTCAGTTCTGAGAATTCTGTCCCGCTGAACCCCCTTCTCCCTGCTGAGCCGGCTTGGTTCTGTCCTTTGGCTTGTCTCTGGCAGCCCCTGCCCATGCTGCAAGAGTGACCACGTGGGGAGCAGGCTGCACCCATGGGTCTGGGGCTGCCCGACGGCACTGGTCAGGCCGGCCAGCAGCGTCGCCTCCTGTGTGCTGACTGTCGTCTGCGCTATGTGCCTCTTAAGTCGGAACTTTTGTTTTCTGGTTTTGGTGGTTGGTTTGGTACCAGTGAGGCTGCCTGTCTCTAGCAGAAGGAAGGAGAGGCTGTAATGCCTTAGAAAGAGCCTCTCCAGCGAAAGGGCGTGACCCCACTGCACCCTCGCTCCAGCTCTGGGAGCCGGGGGTGCCAGAGCCTGGCGAGGGCATGCCCAGGTCCTGGGGACTACGCGGGTCCGGGCTAGTGAGGATGCGAATATCTGGCAAGTCTGTGGTCAGAAGAGGTTGTGCGGGGGTGGACGAGAGGCTGGGAGAGGGCCAGCTTCCTGCAAACGTCCGAGGTGATGAACCTGAGCGAACCGGCAAACATCTGGCTCTGCTTGGCTAGGACCACGGAGCCGGTGCGGGGACGCCGAGTCACTGAGGTGCTGGCGATAAAATGGGCGAGTAACTTGGGCTGACTGGCAGCTGCCTCATTTACTCCAAATGTCCCTTCATGGCAGAAGCCACAGGTGGGGGAGGGAGGGAGGGAGGGAGAGGGAGAGAGAGAGAGAGAGAGAACATCAGTAGATCCACTAGTATCTCAGGGCATTTGGAAACGTAAACACTGATAAAATAATGTTCTTTCCATGCAGAGGAGCTCAGATTTTAAAAGTTCACTTTTATTTCAGTAAAAACTTCGGGAACCATGCTTTTGCAAGATGCTTTAGGTAAAATTAAAGGAAAAGATTACCTAAGTAGATTTCCAAAGTACAATCGATGGCATCTGGTTTCATGGAGGATTTGGGGGCACTATACACTTTTATTAGGGAGTCAGACCTCTTTCTCCAAGTTCAGTGTTTTTGGTGTCTCATAGCTTCCTCAGCCCTCAGACACCTGCTAGTGCCACAAAGGTTTTTTCCACCACAAAAATCACCCTTAACTAGCATGGGAGTTAAATGTTCAGGCTCAGGGCTCTGTCTCCTTTAAGTCTGGTAAGGAATCATTGCAAAATATGTGACTTCTGGTAATAAGTCCTTACATGAAATATGGATGCCAGTGGTGTAGGGGGAAAAATAGTGAACTAGGATCAAAGCCAGCTGTGCTCACTGTCCTCAGGACCACTTGGCCTTGGATAGGGTACTCAGAATTTGTGGGCCTTGTTTTTCGTGGTAGAATTAGGGGCTGGATGAGATGGACTCTGAAATTTTCACCCAGATCCTAAAATTTTGTGGATCTGATACCATTCTTGAGAAAGGGAGAACCTGGGAGAAGGGTGGGGCAAAGGTACTACTAAGGACAAAACCAAGAAACTTCAATATATCTCACATTAACCTTTTCACTATATATTGCAAAAAAAAATAATAAATAACATCTAGGCCTGATAGATTTGGGTAGTTAATTGGTAAGGGAGTGAATTCTTAGTGTTTACTCAGGGAACTAGGAAGAACTGAAAGATTGAACATCGCTGCTATTACTACCTGATCATTAAGTTTCTGACCGATGTGATGGGCCCTAAATGACATCATTGTGAACTGAAAATAGGCTACCCTTGGCCAAATTTATTCTCTGTTGTTCTGTTACATAAATATAATGATTTTTGTGGTCTTTAGGATGGTCTAAAATACACCCTTAATATAAGGCCAAACTATCTGCACAATTACTTTCCCTCATTTTTTCTCCATCTGATAGTATTTGAATGTCTGTCAAAACAAAATTTGTGGTTCGTAAGCACATCCTCCCCATTTCCTTAGTGAGCTAATTTCAAAAGCAAGTAGTTTTCTTAAGTGTCAAATTCATTTAAAGTTGAAATTTTCCAAATAAAATAATATTTATATCATACATTTTTCTTTATGGAGTATTATATACCGACATACTACTCGATAAAGTGAATAGTAAATAGTAGTTACTGACATTGAGTATTAGGATTAATCGATACAATATAATTAATACAAATACCTGTATCAAGTAGTTCCTCAGTAGCTATTGGTTGAATTGATGACCAACCTATTGTATCAGACAGGTAGGGTGGTCCTTAATATATTGACTATTCTCACAGTAAGGCCAAGAGAGATGGGCATTCGTGATCACAGCTAACATTTATTGAGCATATGCCAGTCATTGCATATCCAGAATGAAATTGAATCATTAATCTAGGAAGTGACACTGTTGGTAGGTTCTGTTGTTATTTCCACTTTCAATATGGGAAAAAACAAGGACACAGAGTGTGAAGGGCAGGTTGAGGCAGGACTTTAACCTGCATCTCTCTGATTCTAGTGTGTGTTGCTTAGCACAAAGGGCAGCTTAAGAGAGAAGTGGAAATAGAGCCAAGATGCAAATGGGAATGTGAAGAGCTGACTGGCTAAAAGTGATCATATTTATTTCCATAATTTCACTTTCCATTTTATGATACTTTTACTTTGAGTACCTTGCAGGGCCAGCAGAGAAGGGAAATAATTCTAGCAGCTGGTCTGCCCAGACTCTCCCTTCTTATATGAATCTGTACCACGCTGCCTCCATTTGTTGGAGGACCAGACGACCCTCCCTAAGCTGCACGACTTGGCTTTCTGTCCTTTCTTAGCAATTGTGCTATGTCTAGGCTGGGAGTTCTCAGTGTGGCTCCCTGGATCCGCAGTGTCAGCATCACCTGGGAATCTGTTACAAATGCACATTCTAAGGTCTTATCCGGGACCTACTGGGTGAGCCTGGGCACGGGGCCCAACAGTCTGTGCTTCAGCAAGTCCTCCGGGAGATTCCCAGGCACAGATTTGAGACATAGCGCTGGAGGAAAGCATTGCTTTCCAGAGGCTTCCCATGTATTTGTGAGAGAGGGGAAGAGGGTGGGGGAGAGACAGAGAGAGAAATTTCTAATGTACCTGAAGGTAATATTCATGGTTTTGTTTTTTAATTTCTGTTTTAAAAATGCATCTAGTTTCTCCTTAAGCCCCACAGCTGCAGCCCCAGCTGGCCTTAGGCTTTCCAAGGTGAGGAGGGGCATGGAGATGGGGTGAAGTGGGGCAGCTGGAAAGTGTAGTATGGGGCAGGGAGAGGGAGGAGCCCACAGTGATGCTTTCTCTTCCCCACAGGGTCACACAGTTCCTTTTTTCTAGTCAGTTTGGGGAAGAGCAGAATATATACTCCTTAAAGCATTTTCGGCTGAAACAAATTGGACAAGAGGAAAGGAGGTTGGAGGGGGGTGGAAATTTATGTTGACTTGATTTCCCACACTCATTGGGTGGAGGGAGAGCACAGACATACCCTGGGGTAAATAGAAAAATAAAGCAGTTCCTATATGTAAACTTGGAGATCGTGGTCTTTCCAATTCAGTGAAATTATTATTTTTCTAAAGTAGCATTCAGAGCTTGATTTGCTATGGAAAACAAACAAAAATCAAATAAAATCTCCCCCAGAAAATTAGGTTATGATGCAGCCTCGTTGCCAGTAGCCTCATCACTTATGAGCAGTGGAAATACCAAAAACTTGGAATAACACTCATTACATTGATATAAACAGAATAAGCCAGATGGCTTACTACTGATCTTGTACAACCGGCAAACTCTAATGATTTATATTCCAGCCTTGGATATGTGCTTTAGACTTTACGGGAGCTAAATTTGTTGGATTGATCTTGAGTTGACATGCTTTCCTTTCTACTTCTCATTTATCCTATTTTAAATAGAAATATAGTGCATTTGTCCTCAGAATTGCCAATTTTTACATACATTATATAAGGGACTGGCAATTTAGAGTCAAAAAACGAAAAAGATGCCTTTTCATTGAATTTGAAAGAATGTAAAGGAAAATGTGAACACGGAGGCCTAGATCTATTACAAAATAGTTTGTCTCTGAACCTTAAAAGCTGAATTTGATTTTTCTTATACATATCACATGCAGTTGAAATATATTATAGTATCTCAGGCTCTAAAAAGAAATCTAGGGAATGAATGCATAAAATATGATGTTACCAATAGAAATTGTTGACATAGAAAAAACATGATATCCTTGTACATAGCTGCAATTTTATGTTGTAGGGTTGGTTGGGGACACAGTGGCACTGTCTTAAAGGAAGGATAGAAAGTAGAATTCAACTATGGCAGTCTTTGTTCTGTGGACACATGGCATGAATGGTGAAAAGCACTCTGCCTTGTAAATTATTTTTAATGTAGACTAGTCTCAGTATGAATTGTTTAAAAACACATTATAAATATGGATTATCTAGAGACTGTCCTTTTTCACATTCTCTGTCATCAGTCCAGGTTTAAGACACTAGTTGGTTTTGTTTTGGAGAAACTAGAAAGAAAGTTGTCAAGCTTTTTGGGTCCCAAAAGAAATAGTATCTCTTGCTTCTCCAGAGGGAAGCTGAAGGAACAAAAATAGTAGTTC